TGAAACTCGGCCATGGTTATTCTTCTTCGTTGGGCGCCACTATCAGGTTCAATGTTCCTTCTTAACTTTCTTCGGGAACATACAAGGACCTGACTCGGAAACAGAGAGCTTACTAAAGCTATGTTCAATAATTGTGGTAAGTAAGTAGACAGGATACACACGAAGGGTATACAAAACCCTTTATTTTTCTCTATATACAATAACTTCCGTACTTCGGAATACAATGACCCTCCACTCGGGGTCTAAACGTAAAAAATATAAAATAAAACTAAACTCTAATTTAACTTTAGAATAATAACGTGGAAGATTGGCCTTATAATAACAGGAAGCGTATGTAGTAGCAGAGAGACTGTGAACACTACAATACGTTTAATTTATCAAGAGGATTAAAACCTCTGGCCTGGAAGGCAACAGCAACTGCGTAAAACTTCTAAGGTAAGCGGCCTGCTTCGACTACTGCTTCCTCTCTCTTCGCTTGGCAAAAAGGCCACACTTAAATACTTGGCGTTCGCCAGACAAACTTTGCATAAAAACCTTCACGCTTATAATTCTGGCCGGAAGTAGAAAATAAGAAGTGATAGTAAAGATTTAAAATAAAATAAACGTTAGTAAAACTTAAGATCCTTACAACATGATGGTTGATTATATTTACTTAATTGAAACAATCATAATATGATTCATGATGCGAATGAGTAAAGTGTGTTACATACCTTAAAGTGACTGTAATCTTTCTATATGCTAACATGGAGGTATTTCCAAATACGTAGACGTGCATCTTACGGACACTCGTTAATTTACTCTATTTTACGTCACATGGTACATTTTAAAATATTTAAAAACCTATTGCAACATTTGACACCTTTAGCAGAGTGCAACACGACCCAGAGATCAATATACTACTCTTAGCTTTTCATTACTATACATACTTCCTGCCTGCCTGTAATACGTGATATGCAACTGAGATTTACAGCGCAGCAAAGAGGACTTGCATTACTTCACTAACACAATACACGATGCATAATACAGTACATAAGGCATTAACACAGGATTACATTATTCCAGTGCTATATTACAATTCTATGCAACCGTTACATGCTATACATAATTTAAATACGATTCATTAATACCATATAAAATTACAATACAAGGCAGCTAGGAGTACAAAATGTAACCAGTTTTGATCTCTACTTTTTATGCTACATACTTGTACTGCTTGAAAACATTGCAGTGATTAGCCTGTTGGCAATCAGTTAGTAACGGCTTGTAATGCTTGAAAACACTGGAGGGACTAGCCTGTTGGCAATCAGTTTGTAACGGCTTGTACCGCTTGAAAACATTGGAGGGACTAGCCTGTTGGCAATCAGTTTGTAACGGCTTGTACTGCTTGAAAACATTTTAGGACTAGCCTTTTGGCAATCAGTTTCAAGCAGTAGAAGCCGTTAACTTGTACTGCTTGAAAACATTGGAGGGACTAGCCTGTTGGCAATCAGTTTGTAACGGCTTGTACTGCTTGAAAACACTGGAGGGACTAGTCTGTTGGCAATCAGTTAGTAACGGCTTGTACTGCTTGAAAACATTGCAGGGACTAGCCTGTTGGCAATCAGTTAGTAACGGCTAGTTACTGTAAGAAAGGGCGAGTGTCTTATCACTCAGTCCCTTTACTCAGCATGAGAGTCAGCAAAAAAAAAAAGTTTTTTTTTCTTTCCTTATTTCGGATGGAACTTGACATCCTGCCAATCATTGAGAATTGAGTATCTAATTTATTTTGGGTGTGACACTTCACCTTAATCAGGTTATTGCGCAGTGATGGAAAAGGTAGAGAGTCAGTCAGATCTTTGTAGTCGTTTTAGTGAGAGCTTCCATTTGGAGCATTACTTATTAGGTTGCACTGCTGCATTATGTCTCTAAGCTTCCTATGTTCAACTGTATTCTTTGTTAGGAGTTCTGCAAATTTTGGCTTATGGACTTCTAACGGCTTTTTTAACTGGATTGTGCTTGTGTTTGGACACTGGAAAAGGTAGTGATCTGGATCACCGACTTCTCCACTTTGACACTCATCCGTGATTCTAAGTAAGATTTTTAAGAAAAGGTAAAAGTAAGAATAAAGGAAAAAGTAGTGGTGTTACTACACTGACCTACTGAGCAACTTCCGACCTAAGTTAGCCTAAAGGCAACAAAAGGAATATGTTGCTCAGAGGTAAAACCATCTGCTATCTACTGGCCACAACCTTAGGTCGGGGCCAAAACAGAACAGTCGGGCATTAATTGTCAAAGTCAAATTTCAAAGTTTTACATTTGTACAATATACAGAGTTATTTGTATATATTGTATGCGTTGAAGAAATACATCTGAAGTTATTATATTACGATTTTCCAGAATTGTTAAGACAAGAATTGACAGCCGCTACAGTAACAATAAGTGAAAAACTTTTAAAGTAGAAGATCATAGTTAGATAAATGTCAGTCATATATAATATAAAAACACAAGTAAATGAACAATAAGGATCAACACCCCGTTCAGAATCTACACGCTATTGAAATGAAGTATATAGTCATGAAAGAATCAAGTCTCTAGAGTGCAAGTTTAAGTTAAGTTGGTCTCTAGAGTCCAAGTTTAAGTGTAAATGTATCAGGTTCTGTCTTCCTCCTTACTTGCTTAGGGAACATTAATTGTCCTGACTCGGAACAGGGAGCTTACTAAAGCTATGTTCAATAATTTTGGGAAGTAGACAATACACACAGGAAGGGTATACGAAACCCTTTATTTTCTCTCTCTTACAATGATTTCCGGACTTCGGAATACAGAGACCAACCACTTGTGGTCTGAACGTAAGAATATAAAAATATTAACTAAACTCTAACTAAACTAACTTTGGATTAATCAAACAAGTGCCTAACTCCAAGATTGGCCGTATATTAACAAAAAGCCGTATGTAGTACAGAGAACTGCTAACACTACGATACGTTTAAAATTATCAAGAGGATTAAACCTCTGGCCTTGAAGGCAACCAGCAACCGAGTAAAACTACTATGGCAAGCGACCTGCTTCTAATAGCTCCTTCCTCTCTCTTGCTTGTCAAAAAGCCACAAATTAAGTACTTGGCGTTCGCAAGACAAATTTGCATAAATAAGTTAAAGCTTTTAATTCTGGCCGGAAGTAGAAAATAAGATGTGATAGTAAAGATTTAAAATAAAATAAACGTTAGTAAAACTTAGGATCCTTACAAATGAACATACTTGATGTTCCGTAATCCAGTACTAAATGTTTTGTCCAAAGCAAAGTATTGTGCAGTTCATCCAAGATTCAAGTCATATAACTCAGAGGTACTGGAATTTGTACTAAATCATAGTAATAAAATCCAGAAATTCAATCAAGACGTTTGTTGATTCCAGTACAATTAGCAGTTGTCATATAATTGTAATAATGAGTTAAAGAAGATCATACCAGATATAAACAATGTAGAACAAACATTATGTTTCAATACTTGTTCATAAATGTGCCAGGAGAAAAAACTATGAGTACAATTATATGTTAATCTACATAAGAACAGACAGCATAATATTGACAGACATGCATTCATGATGTTGAACAAAAGATTACTTCAGATACAACTAAGCACGTGCTGTACACTTTATGCTCTCGCTTTTGAATGAAAAAAATGCCATAACGTTTATAAGAAATCAGATGTTACAATTACTGAAAGTACAATTGTATTATTTCCTAGGTATGTTATTACAGATATTCACTGGTTCATATAAGCCAAAACAAAATTTGGTAGTGGTGGTACTAAAGGTTTTCAATTTTTGTTTAGATGGTACGTCAAAATGTTGAGAACCGCTGTTATACACTGACTACCAATAAGTATTTGGACACCTATGCAAATGACGATATCTGCGATCCTAAGGTACGTCACGGACTCCGCCGGTATATATCGTGTAGGAAACAGCATCGGTTTTAGTCGCATGCAAGATGCCTCGCAGTTCGGAGCTCTTTGATTTCGAGAAAGGTATAATTATCGGGTATCAAAAATGTGGCCGATCCTTAAGGGACATATCTAGCGATCTGAAGTACCCAAAATCGACAGTGGCCTATGTGATTAAGAAGTGGAAAGGTGAGCGGCGGCCCCATTGTCGGCAGACCAAAGGAAACTGGACCAAAAGACTGGGAGATAGAGACCGACGAGTGCTGTCCAGAGAAATTCGGAAGAACCGCACCTAACCGATAACCCTCATCCGCGAGGAGATTCAACAGGCATCCGGGAGTATTGTTTCAATGAATACTATCCGTAAGGAAGCACATCTGCTTGGTTTTCATGGTCGTGCTGCTCCCCATAAGCCTTTGATCACAAAGTCCAACCGCGCTGCTCGGTTAATGTGGTGCAAAGCACATCGAAATTGGACCGTAGATCAGTGAAAACGGGTTCTTTGGAATGACGAATCAAGGTTCACCCTTTACCGTTCGGATGGCAGGGTCTGGGTCTGGGTCTGGGTCTGACGTCTACCTGGAGAACGTCTCCTGCCAGAATGCATTGTACCAACAGTCAAGTTCGGCAGAGGTGGAATTATGGTCTATTATCCACTAGCTGTCATACAAAGACTTGTGGAAAGTATGCCCCGGAGGGTCCACGCCGTAATTACCTCTCGTGGAGGCTCTACCAACTATTGATTTTGAATAAAATTAGTTTTTCTTTTCTATCTCAGGTGTCCAAATATTGGTAGTCAGTGTAGATCGTTAATCGTTCGTTTCTCGCCCATTCGAAAATCGGTAAACGTTTTTGTTGCTCGCCAAGGCCGCTACAGAAGTCAAGCAGTGTGATATCTTTCTATATTTCATACTTCAGTTCGTATAATGGCTGAAATCATTTAAAACACCGTGTCGTGTAGTTTGTTTTTAATATTTAAGCTACCGGAACAGTAAGAAAAAACAACTCATTTTGTGACAATATTTGTGAGTATAATGCAGCTTGTTTCAATCAGTACTTTGCTTTAATTCTTTTCTAGATTGAGAACCATCTGGGCCGCCCTGTTCAGGTACTGTGTGAAAAGGCTGTCTTAGAATCGGCGGGAGCCAGTGCAGAAAATTACTCCAAAAATCCGTTCCAGGACAAATTTGTCCGTTTAACAACTCTGAACCCGGGGCAAATATACGATCTGCCATTGTTGGTGGCGTATCATTGCAAATTGTATCTGAAGCCCCTTCCAACCGAAACTGATCATCAAGAGTGAGTATAATTACGTTTCCTGTTATGTGTATGATTATTTCTTTTCAGCTTGAATTGTGCAGTCCGAACGCTGAGCACGGATAAGTAGTCGTAACCACGCAAAAACAGAAAAAGACGCTCATTTATGCCGTCGAGTCAGAGAGTGAATCAGTTTTTTATAACTCACTGCGTTTTAATTATTTTCTGCAACAAATTCGGTGGCAAAAGTTGCTAACCGTCTTGCTTTATGGTCGGCAAAGTTACGTGATACAACAGAAAATTCTATTGGAAGCCAAATGATCCGTTCTCTTCAGTTGTCATTGCCCATGTATACATGCTTTAAGGTCGGCATAACGTGATGCAACAGAAAATGCTATTGAAAGCCAACTGATCCGTTTAGAAAACCAATCTGTTTTCTGCCAAATGATCCGTTCTCTTCAGTTGTCATGCCCATATATACATACGAATTATGCGATCTGCAACAGAGCGAATACAGTTAAACGAGCAGTGGTATCGAAAGAATAGACTCAATCAACCACTAACTCCCTAAATTGATTTCTTTCAATTGTAGTTCTGAAATTCCATAAAACTTCTTTTCTACATAGAAATTAAAATAAAATTATAGAATGCAAAATTTTCAAATAAATAATAAAAAAGAATTTTTTTTTAATCTGGAGGCTTTCAGATTTTAAATTATGTCCAAAGGGATTTTTTCAACGTTTTGTGTGTTACCTTTATTTATCAAATATCATGTTCTTCGCACTTAAACCATAAAATTCAGTTCAACATCAATATCGCATATTAATCTTAAAATGAGCCTAGCTTTAGAGTTTCCGATACACAGTCTCACGCGCTGGAGATAAAAATGATTTTTCTGTACATTTTTGCCATTGCTCGCTTTGAAATCCTTGAGTTTTTTAATCAAAAACTCGCTGAGGTGTTAAAAATCTGAAATCGATAATAAAACAAATTTCAAATTCAAATTAAGGCTTCCACATGCCCATATTCTATGAAAGATTACGTTATTCAAATTGTGATGTCTCTAGGTACAGTTGTTTTATCACAATGCGAGAAACATGCATACATTCATGAAGGTTCTTCATTATTTAATTTTTTTAAATATAAGACAGGGCGATAATATATGGTGGGAAAGATTTTAAAAGTGATAAAGTTTTCGACGCAAAATGCCAAACATTGCCTTCTCCGGGATTCGAAACCAGGCTCATCGCTATGGCACTCGGGGTTGGGAAAATTCAAGAAATACAATAGTAGCAAAGATAAAAATCATCCTTCTTCTTAACCTTACTCCCCCTTCTAAACACTTATTCAGCTCGGTTTCCGTTCATAGGGAAATTTATGGCAATGAGTTGGCAGACCAGTTGTTCATCTACAGCGCAGTGGACTCTTCTCACGGAACACAGTCGCTTTCCGTTGTTTTTATTCCGATTTCATCTCAAGGAAGGTGACAGATGTCAATGTTGAATTATTGGGTCTCCAGACCATTTTGCTTTTTCTTCTCCACTCACCGATGAATTTCATCTGCAAAGACCATCAGACTTCTACTGGAGTGAATGGACTAAAACGCTATTAAAACGGCAAACAAATTCTTCAGCACAGATTAACTCAGATTTTTAGTATTTGCAATGAGAAGATGAGGGACTATACGTTTCCAACAACCTTCTCATAATATTTACACTACTCCTTTTATAATTTTTTTCTTCCATTTGATATGTTGTAATTATAATTGTATGTTTAACTTCAATGCAAAGAATATTTAGGACTATTAAGTACTGGATATGCTCTGCACTTCCACATGGAAATACGTTCTGTGGGTATTTATAACTTATTGAGGCATTTGGGAATTGTCTCTTTGTGTGTTAATATTATATTAATGTTCAGATTTTAAATTACGTCCAAAGGGGCTTTGTCCCTGAAAGTTGTTTTCGTTTTGCGATTTATCGTTCGTTCACTATAAATGTCCGTTTCACTTTTCAAACTGTTGTCACTCAATATTATCGCCTTGTATTATATTTGAAGAAATTAAATAATGAAAAATCTGCAGAAATGTATGTAGGTTTCTCGCATTGGGATAAGACAAAGGTACCTAGAGCCATCCAATTTAGAATAATGTAATCCTACTGCAAATATTGGCATCTGGAAGCCCGAATTTTAAGTTTCGAATTTGTTTTAATATCGATTTCATATTTTGTAAAACTTTAACGAATTTTTCATTAACAAACTCAAGGATTTCAAAGCGACTATTGGTAACGTGGTAAGAAAAAAAAAATTATCTCCAACGCGTTGACTGTGTATCGGAAATTCTAAAGATAGGCTCGATTTAAACTATTGAGCGATATTGCTGTTGAACTGAATTTTATGGTTTAAGTGCAAAGATTTCGATATTTAATAAATAAAGATAACGCACAAAAGTTAAAAAAAAAGCCACTTTGGACGTTATTTAAAATTTGAAACCGTTCAGATTTATTTATTTATATAATTATTATTTTGTTCTTTTTATTATTATTTTTGCCATTTTAATAATATTATTATTATATTATTTTTGCTTTATTATAAGTCAATCACATTTACTGTTTGCTGGTGAACTGGAATATTCTGAGTGTTATAAAATTTCATTACAGTTCTTGGAATATGAGCATTTTAAGAAAGAACAGAAATTTACAACTGTATCTAATTATTTTGTCTGTTATAATGCTTCCTTGTCATTAGAGTTATAATTAATGTATGAAATATTTAGGCCTATTGAGTTTTGATAGAATTGGTAAATGTCGTTTCTACATTTGATACAGAGTTTAGTGTTTTGTATTTGCACCTAGGAATAAACATCTGAGGATGTTTCGTAGCTTTTTATAGAATCTGGAATTATAACAGCCTTGTACAGAATAACTTCTGTATATCATGTCCATCACAATTGGGTATAAGTTCTTGTTTTTCAGCAGATGTATGTTCTTAACTATTTTAAGCATTGCGAACTCTTACAACCAATTCAACTTAGAGCTGATCCATTTTATTTGCTGGCAAATTGGAATATACTAACTATAATGAAAATTTAGTTGCAGCATTTGAAAGATATGCACTTATATAGTATAACTGTATATGGTATGTAATATGTACTGAATAATATTTGTATTTCATGTCTATTACAATTGAGAATTGGTTCCTGTTTTTCTGTAGATGTTTTTAATTACTTGAAGAAATTGAGCACTATTACAGCCATTTTATAAGCATGATATGTAATGGAATAAGTAATAGATATTTTTGGGGTGTGAATATGTACTCTTATATTGTAGGAATACCTGTCAATTTGTATGAATACCTGTCAATTTGTATAGGCTGGAATTGTTTTAACAAAATTTGTCATTTTGTACTATTTAGAATTGTATAGCAAAAATTTAATATTTTAACTGTAATGAAAAACTAGTTGCAGTTTTTCTTTTTTTTACATGTACATTTACATGTACATTTGTAGTATGATTGATTGGCAAATATTCTAACTGTTATGAAAAATTAGTTGCAGCAATTGAAACATTGGCATTTATATGATATAGTTGATTGGTAAATAATGTGTACTGAATAATTTTGCATTTTATCTCTATTATAATTGGGAATTATTTCCTGTTTCCTGTTAGTAATTGGGTTGCTAGTAATTAGTTCCTGTTAGTAATTGGGAATTAGTAGTTTTTTTTAACTACTTGAAGAAATTGTGTAATATTGTTGCCATTTTATAAGCACAATTAGCCATTTTATAAGCACATGTAATTGAATACATTATAGCATTTTTTGGAATATGTGCTTTATGTTGTTGGAATACCTGTGAATTTGTATAAACTAGAATTATATGACAAATCTGTCGTTTTGAACAATTTATAATTGTATTGAAAAATTTTTTTAATTAGTTTCTTTTATTTTCTTTTAGTCCAAAGGGGAAATTTGCCCTGAAGAAGTATTAATTTCGGCAAATGGGTTTGAGATGAATAATAATATTGGTTGAACTATATGGAAATCAGAGAAGCGGAGCTCAAAATTATTTTTTAGTGCATTTAGGTTTTCCGAGTATTTCTCTGTTTCAATTGCTTTGTGGTTATTGATATGGCTTTATAAATTCTGAAAATGGGTGAAATTGTTTTCTTCCATCTGATTTATCCACTTATTTTTTACCTGAAAAGCAGTTACAGTCCCAGTCAATTGAAATGGTTTTTTTTTCTTTTCCCTGGAGGTCTTCATTCAGTTTGTTCAGTTTAACTGTTATATCCGTGAGAAAATACAGATCGGATAACCAATTATTATCTTCCAATTCTATATAACTTTCGTTTCCGAATTCCAAAATCTGCTTTATTGAAGAAAGAAGTTCAAATCGTTGAAGTACTTTTCCCCTACTGAGCCATCTAACATCAGAATGAAGCAATAAGATTCCATGTTCGCTATCATCAGTCAGCAATCAATTATTTTATAAAATCTTGTAAGATATCTCTTATGATTATAAATGCTTATCATATTCTAACAATCAAGAAATATAAATGAGCGGTTATTTTTAAAATATTTTTTGTTCGTAGTACCTAATCGGGCAGACGAACACATACAAAACGATCGGCGAGCACAAGGTTGGGCACCGCTACTCTGCAGCATAGCTCCTATCCATGACAATGTAATGATTAATTGATTGTATATTTTTATACGGATTATTATGTAACAATTATTGTAATGATGACATTGTCAATTTAGCACTGTGATATTACTATCGTTGATTCAATTAATGCCTCCAGCGGTTGGATGGTAGATTCTCTTTCCGTCGCATGGCCCTGATGTGGCATGAATGAACGTCACACGGCTCTGATTATTCAGGGCCACCTGCGGTGGGTTTTCGAAATTTAATGCAGACAGCGACCTTCTTCTTGTTTCGAAGATCAAGTATGCAAAATTTCATCACAATCGGAATAAAATTGTATATATGTATAAATTACACACAAACGAACGAATACTGTTCTTCTTATATATAGACTGCTTTAGACAGTTTACTAAGCTAGATTAATTTCACAACACCAACTAGTCATTTAGCTGATATGATTGGCCTACTCCGTGGATAATTGCAACAATAGTGTGCAAACTGCTAAGGACACACATCATTAGGTGTGTAACTGATAAGATCACGAAATTATGACGTATTGAATTAGACATGGGTTTAGAGACTTGTTAATATATAATATAAGTTCACAAGACCAGTTAGTCATTTGGCTGATATGACTGGCCTACTCCGCTGATAATTGCAACAATTGTGGGAGGGACCGATGACACAGCTGTTTGAAGCTGTTTTTGAAGTCATGCTGATTTAAAGCTTGTATTAGTACAGTGTGTTTCTAATATCGGGGTTTTAGCGCTTTGTAATATTTATTACGTAAAACTTAAAATTATAATGAATACATGAAATGAAACAGCAATGCCTACAAGCTTACAAAGTGTTCACTGTGAGCACCTTTTGTCACATGACACACATCGACTCGATAGCTCAGTTCTTCCCAAACGTGGATTAGTGTTTGTGGTATAATTGTTGCAACAGCTGCCTCAGTCCTGTTTCATACGTCGGGTAGTTCAACTGGTAATGGTGACACATACACGCGATCCTTTATAAACTAACTCATACGATTCAGTGTGCATTGAATCGATAGTCAGTTCTTCCCAAACGTTGATTGGTGTTGTGGTATAATTGTTGCAACAGCTGCCTCAGTACAGTTTTTTAAAGTCGGGTAAGTCGCCTTATAGTGGAGGCACGTACACGCGATCCTTTATGAACTAACTTACACGATTCAATGTGCATCGAATCGATAGCCCAGTTCTTCCCAAACGTTGAAGAGTGTTTGTGGTATAATTGTTTAATTGTTGCAACAGCTGCCTCTGTCCTGTTTCTTAGGTCGGTTAGGTCATTTGGTAGTGAAAACACCCATACGCACGATCCTTTATGAACTCAACACTCTCTTCTCTAACCCTTAGTCGTCCCGTACTCTTCCCTTTGCAAAGGCAGCCGGTATTTTCAAACTGATGATACCATCTACGGATGTTTTTATCCCTTGCGGCTGAATTTAATCCGGAACGCACCTTGCACAGTACCTACAGATTCGGTATTTCAAACTGCAGAAAGCAAAAAGCTTTCCGTTCGCTGGACGCCATTTTTGTTTCTAACGTATTCTGGCGCATGCGCGTACCAACAAACAAAACTGTTTGAGTTGCTCTTTCATTTCATGTATTAATTATGATTTTTAAGTTTACTAAATAGATACGTTTACGTAATAAAAGAATTAAAACCCCGATATTCATTTAGAAACATCCTGTATTATAAAGCTGCTTGAAAAACCGCTTTGCCCAGCTAGCTCATGAATTTTCGCAGCTGGCATAACTGAGAGTTTAGTACTATCAATAAAAATTGTATGTTTGTAAGAAAATGGCTCTTTTTAACGAATGTATCTTCTAGATTCCTGACTCTTCTCTCTTCAACAGGTATAGCTTGAGCAGTGAGGGTATTTGGTGGAAAGACATGACAGTACCCCAGAAAAGCAGCAAATTTCTGGAGTGTCGAGCAGTCAACAACACAGGAAGTGTTTCCACTACAAAGGTAAAGCTTTTTATTAGTTGGCTCAATTTTAAAAAAAGATGTACGTCAAATTATTAAAACAATTAATCATAAAGGATTTGTTTGCTTAAGATACAATAACACGCCGAACAAGTATTAATTTAGTATCAACCAACAAAAGTTAGCGTTATATTTTCAAATTTTCACAGGACTAGTTTCGATTGTTTTACTGAACCATCGGCCTCAGCTGCGAAAGCGCAAACGAACGAGATAAGATTTAGTGATTTGATAAGATAAGAAAGACAGGACAGGAGTTAAGCTACTGGCGCCATTTGTTGATGAAACGAGAACTAAAACATAATTTCCTTAAACGCTGAAGACAAAGATGGATTGGAATTAGGGTCGTTAACTAGAAATGAAAGATTTTTTTTTGAATGTGAAATGCCTCTAGAAAATCCAATTCACCAATGGCAGACGTTTTGCAACTGAGGATGATGGTTCGGTAAAAGCATAGAAACTAGTCTTGTGAAAATTTGAAAATATAACGCTGATTTTTTGTTGTATGACTTCTAAATTAGTATTTGTTTGCCTGTTAAAACTTTGTATAAATAATGTAAGTGGAAGCCAATGTTTTCGTGAAAACATTGCTTTGTTGCTAAGCGTTATGTTAAACAAGTATTCCGTAATGAATCTAATGACGCTTTAAATTAAAATGACCAACCAACGCGTTTGTGTTCTGTCCTACCTTCAATCCTTGTTTTCAAATACCTGATGACCTGTGTAGAATGATTTTTTGATGCATTAATGTTAACTAGTTCGGCTCATGGAGAGAGCTAAAATTTTTGATTGTTCAATGATCTCTCTTAGATTGCCTTTGATTACTCTCATTTTTGAAAACTTTACTTGTAAACGTAAAATTGGATCGGCTGAGTGCGTCTGTAGTGGTTCCGAATCCAAACGTCAATTTGTTTCCGTTTTTAAACATAATCATTTTATTTTTTGATTGTAACATTTGGCTCTGGTGCAGAATTGGGTGCCCATTCGATTGGCGACAAATTTTGTTCGATTTTGCCGATGAAACCCGATTTCTGGTGACCATGATAGTTTTAACTTTGTTTTAGCTTCTTGATTTTTTTAAATGAAATTAGATGGATGTGTACATGGGCAAAGTTAAGGCAGTGCGCAGTACCTAGTTTGTGCAATTCTCGGATTTTTTTAAGTGAAAATAGGTCGATGTGGGGCATGGGCACCGAGTTTGTGCAATTTTTTTACTTCTTATTTTAGTTTTGTGTAGCGTCCATCTTGAAATTACGCCTTTCTTGCGCCGCTCTTGGCGTCAAAAAAGAATAAACAAGGGCCAACCTAGTTGTAAACTTTTAACTAATATTTCCTCTAAACTCAACTGTGTCGTGGTTACAATAATTTTTTTAGTAGTTCAGAATGGCTTAAGGAAAAGAAAGCAAAACCAAAACATTTAAAATGCTGTTGTTGTTGCTGCTGCTGTTATGATTCATCTCATCAGAAAAAACCTACAAAATTCATCGCGGCAAGGAGTACAAGATTACGCTTGTCGTTGGAAACAGCCTTGGAACCATATTTGTCACAGTACGATTTTGTCCAGTTCCGTCCTAGTCTTGAAGGTAGGTGCGAGGGAATTCCACCTTTCTTTCCCTACCACCAAACCATGTAAGAGGACATTCGGCTCTCCATATGGCCTCACTCGGCGAAGACTGACATTTAACCTCTTCGTCGTCCGTAACGCCTCTAGCGCGTTCAAGTGAAACTTCCGTAGGGCGGCCGTAACGTGCCTCAAGTGTTCTTCTACATTTTAAAACTTTTAAACGTTCAAAACGCTTTCTAAATGTTTTCTTGTTTGAGTTTTTATTTTTGTTTGTTCTAATACCTCCTAGAGGGCAGTACTAATCAGGCATTCTATTTATAATTGAATTTGTCCCGGGTTTTATGAATATTCGCACCATTTTGCATACCAGTGGACCAAAAATCGTTTCTCATCTGCTAGAGATCTGGAATTGGAGGTGAACGAGGATGACATAGAAGAGCTCATAATGGAACATGAAGATGAACTGACAACAGAAAGAACTCCAGTAAATCTTGAGTGAAGAACACCAAGAAACACAGCGAAATGTGTCTCTCTGAACAAGAGGAAGACGAAAAAGGACCAATGCGGGCATCTGCCATTAAAGATCTTTTGAAAAGGTAGGAGGACCACAATAGTGGTCTTAGAATAGTACCCAAACCGAGCTGATGTCAGTAGGGTAGGGGATCTTTCAAAACAATGCTATTAATAACGACAATGCTATTAAACACTTCCAGAAAATCCTGAAAAAGTGAGAAAAGCAGTCGGCATTGGACATGTTCTTTAACGCCCCATGAACAAAAAATGAAAAGGACTGATTAATATGCAAGTCTATATGTATGTATTAATTTTTTAATAAACTTACTGCATTTTCATTGCAAAGGGGCTTTGTCCCTGAAGGACTATTGTTTTCGTTTTGCGATTTTGCGTTGGTTCACTATAAACGTCCTTTCACTTTTGAAACTGTTGTCACCCAATGTTAGAGTCTTGCATTATATTTGAAGAAATTAAATAATGAAAAATCTGCATAAATGTATGCATATTTCTCGCATTGTGATAAAACAACGGTACATAGAGCCATCAAATTTTAAATGACGTAATCCTACTGCGAATATGGGCATGTGGGAGCCCAAATTTGAAATTTGGATTTTGTTTTATTATCGATTTCATATTTTGTAAATCTTAAACGAATTTTTGATTAACAAACTCAAGGATTTCCAAGCGAGCCATGGCAACTTTGTAGACAAAACATTTTTATCTCCAGCGCGCGAGACTGTGTATCGGAAATTCTAAAGACAGGCTCAATTTAAAACTATTTTGCGATATTGCTCTTGAACTGAATTTAATGGTTTAAGTGCAAAGAACGTGATATTTAATAAAGGTAACCGACAAAATGTTTAAAAAATGCCCCTTTGGGTGTAATTTAAAATCTGAAACCTTTCAGATTTTTTTTTAAATTTAATTTTTAAGTTCTCCTGAACGAATAAATCGATTTCACAAAAAATTCTATGGAAAATTGATGATCGGTTAACAATGGATACAATGGGTGATCAGTTAACGAACATAATCTATTATAAGACTATGTTCGGTATCCGAACTGTTTTTAACCGATCATCGATTTGCTTTTTTTTGTGTGTGTGTGAAATTGATTAATTCGTTCTGGAGACCCTGAAAATTTAATTTTAAAAAAGGATGAATCATTTCTTAGTAGGTTTATTAAAAAATAATACATAAATTTAGTCTTGCATATTAATCAGTCCTTTTCATTTTTTGTTTATTCGGCGTTAAAGAACATGTCCAATGTCGAATGGAATTAGTCATTCAAGCTCAAAATGAAATCAGTTTCGGTTTTGAATGAAATCAAAACTGATTTCCAATGTAGAACTTTTAAATTTAATAAGCAAGCAACATCATTCAGGAGAGAATGAAAAACGATTTTTGGTCCGTTGGGTTTGGCAACCCTGCACATTATGCTCCGAGAGAAGTGTTCGGTAGAATTCGCTTTAGTTCGTTTTCCAAACACAAAATCTTTCGTGAATGTGTTCGTTGTCCGATTGGTTCGCAATCCGAACTGTTCGTTAACTTGTAGAGACATTAGGATGTTTTGGAAGTAGGCAAGATGAAAAATTAGCAACGCCTTTGTCGGGAATCGAACCACGGACCTCTAGAATACCGGCCCAGCGTGCAGAACCACTACACTACGAAGACACGCTAGAAAGGCGGGAGAAATACCTTATAAACCTATCACCCACTGTACTGTGAATTCATTATAAGGATCAGTAATAAAGTTTTATTCTTCAAAAATGTGTATAAAAGCGCGGACGTGAGTCTTATACGCCGGCCAATACGGTATATATTCTTTCAAAACGCATAACGCCATCAGCCAATAGATATATTTAATGATTTTCCATTTCGAGTACGTGTTTTTCCGATGTTTATTTCCGGCAAACAGGCAGAGCTAATTGCGATGATTTTCTTTAGGTTGTGTGCGAAGAGAATCGAGATCTCAAAACTCCATCTGTTGGCACAAAACTTGTACCCAATTTCTGCTTGCTCCTCTACCCACCCGTCGTGTTCCACAACTTACTGCCCCTTGCACTCGACGTGCACATTAAGGTACGTTACTGCAATTGAAATTTAATTCAATATTTATTATTATTTTTAGAAAAGATACTTCTATTAAGACCTCCTTTTTTTCTTTCCAGAGCAAAGATCAATTGATGCGATTGCAGGAAGGAGAAAGTGCTGTGTTCTTTGACTTCGATTATCGCCACCCTCACGATGTTCTTGTAGAGGTAACAACTGAACTCTTATTTATCTGTTATACAGCCATTACATTAACTTCGATAGCGTATTTTAGAAAAAGGAGGAGGGAATGCTTGAAAGACTATGAGTTTGTAATGTTAGCCCTTTGCGGCACAGTGTGTCCGGTCTGGACACACTTAAAATGTTTCCTTCTGTATGCGCAGAAAAATTAAATGAAAAAGGATTTATAGCTTACTCTGAACCTTCTTTATTTATAGTATATGGCAGCTCAACACAAACCAGTCCATATATTTTAGCCATGTTTAGTTTTTTAAGACCCTCATTTTTCAAAGAAATCTTCCAGATTTTTTTAGGGTATGAAAGGAATTGTTTGAAAGGAAATTTCTATGCTATTTTTTCGCTGTATGTTAATCTCCTTATTCTTTTATTAGTTTTAAATTTTTACCTTGAAATGTTGCCTAAAATCAAACGGCGAACCCTAGGTGTGCCCAGACCGGACTCACCGATCATCTAGGACAACTGAGAGTCTGTATTCTTTGCTTCTCCGCATCTCATCGGTCAGTTCATTGAAAACAATGCTCGTTTCAGCACTCTTTTCGAAGCTCTATTTAATGAGTGTGCCCACTTTGGGCGCACCCACAGAATTAAACGATAGCTGCTATCTTCAAAAAATTTTACTTGTGTTCTCCTCTAGGCCTAATTAGACTGTCTACCTTTTTTTTTTTTTTTTTTTTTTTTTTTTTTTTAAACGGTGGTAGTTCTTTTAGTTGGTAGCTCTGGTAGCTCGCGGTAGGATTTAAAAATGGTACAGTAGCTCTGAAGCTTCATAACTTTGGCGACCACTGCCCTAAGGCATCCCACGCGTGCACAATCGGGTTCAAATCTGGTGAGCGAGATGGCCAAATCGTTCAAGTGATATCTTCTGTTTTCATGTATTCTGACGCCACATATGATAGATGAATGGAGCGTTATCGTCCATTATCAACATCTCTGGGCCAATAACACCCCTAAACATTCGAACGTGGAAGTTCCACTACCTCGTTCACGTGTCTCCGAGCGGTTACAGAACCTTCTTGAAAGATATGCGTCTGGATGGGGAGCACAAACCATTGGTTTCCTCGCGTACAGTCCAACGTCGTTAAGGCTTCGTGCAGCAGTAGAAAGGATAATTCGAATTCCTGTGGCAGCCAGAAGGTCTAAAAGCAAATCTTTTGCAATCGCTTCGCGGTTTATTCGAATCGAGAGCGACAGAAAACTGTCTTCAGATGCATTGGTCGCTCTTGGTCGCTTTTGACCAGGCGATATCTACGGATAAGGTGTTTTATGACTTAATATTTACGAACTTAACATCTATGGATCCAGTGTTTACGAATTGATATCTACGGACTTAACATCTACGACTTAATACCTACGGATCCAGTGTTTAAAAAGCTGTTTCAAATTCTTGATACGACACTTTGACGCATATTCAGATCTTGGGAGACCTGCATTTGTGTTTGACCTCCATCGATTCTATCAATTATTCGCCACGTTTGATCTTCACTCAAATGATGCCTTTGAGCCGTAGCTTCTGAATACTGATCACTCTGAGAATACACATTCACTTTATAAAGTTCCAACCTTTCTTTTGTAGCTATGTGTGTGGAAACGCGAGAAATGTTAGGCAAATAATTGCTTTAACTCAGAAACAGAAACTTAAACTCAAGAAGGGTTAATGCTCAAAATAAGGCTTAACAGACGGCCCCTTTCTCAGGACGTACAGAAAAGCCACCTCTTGGGCTTGAAGTCAAGAGTACTAAGAAATAAATCTTAACTAATGCTTAACTAAAAAGATATATGCTACGTTTTGTAGAAAGGATGGGGCACCTAATATTTAGCCTAAGTAAGCAGGTATTAGACCCACACACTAACTAGGAAACTAACATCATTCTGGTATCATTCCTCGAGTCGCGATGGAAATTGTGATTCCATTGAGCACTACCGGCGGAGGCATCAACGGTACTCCTAACCTTTCAGCGTTAAATTAGCTCAAGTAAAAGGGATTAAATTACATGATATAAGATTGTGATGTACATAGTTGTGCAGAATGAAAAAACTTTACGTTAACAAATGGAAAATACAGTGGTTCTCTTCACCTAAAAACAAAGGATTTATGGAACTAATTAAAATCACAAATAAAATGAAATGTATGAACAATATTGATGCTAATCAGGTTTTAACTGGACATGGTAGGTTTCCGTTCTATTTCAACCGATTTTAATCTGCAGGAAAATAAATTATGTAATAGTTGTCAGGTTGATTGTGATTTGCATTTCATGCAGGCATTTCGTGGTTGATTGTAGTTTAACAGCCCCTATTAGACAGATTTTAATGTAAGTGCCATTAATTTTAAAGTTTTAAATTATGTACTATTGCTCTAATGAAGTTTATCAATGAAAATAGGGCGCTGGTAGGAATCTTCTGTTAAAATTGAATGTTGTATTTGTGTGGGTTTTAGATAACTGTGGTGTTCTATGTTTTGAATTTGTTTATTATTTTTTTTTTTTTTTTTTTTTTTAGTTTGTTGTTGTCTGTAATTTTGTGTTAGATGTCCTTACTTATTTTTGATTTAGTATATTTGTTTGTTGTTTGGGGGTGGCTGGGTTACTGGCTGCCCTCGTTTGTGGAGATACGGGGCCCCTTCTTTTAAGCTATGGGGACACTCGTGTCCAGGTAGGCTGAAGGGAGCCTCCAATTTTTATAAAGTTCTGCAGGTGCATACTTCAAGATGTTATCTATTGTAAAGGGTACAGGCAACATGTTTCAGGGCATTATATATTGCATTAGAAACAGGCATATGTTCCCACGTTACAAATCATTTTTATAAACATGAACTGTTTACTATCAGAATTAATTAAGAACTATAAAATTGTTTACAAAGCTTACATTTAAGTACTGTTGTAATGTTGTGGTGAAACATTAACAGCTCAATTTTGACGATTCATTATTTGCTGTAACGAACGTTTTTATGTTAATTGATTTTCAGAAATCATATTATTGTCTAGCAGTACATTTTTATTTGCGTGTAAAAATTGATCATGACATTATAAATTGTGGTGGCTAGAAGCAACTTATTTCTAGTATATAAATCATGCCTACAATCATGACATGTTTACATAATTTTTTTACAAACGGCTGTCAAAATTTGAGAAGAATATGAAATAATAAAAAAGACATAAATAAAAATAAACAAACAAAAAAAAAACTTCATCTGCATACTTATGCATACTACGTACTTTTAGATATATCTGCATATATATCTTGATACATTGCCAACTTATTTTTGTCACTTCATTGTATGCAAGTACATGTGTTTTTACAATAATTAGATTACATGAATTACATTCTATGATACATAACATTGTTGATACTTTACCAACTCAATGCTGGTTATTTATTATATTGTCGCGTTTTTCTTTTTTGGCACCAGTTGTACGGGGATCGTAGATTTGGAGTGAATAACGACGACACTTGATGAAGTATCGAAACACACTTTATTTACCAATATTAATCAGATAGCTCCAAAATCACATTTACAGTCGTCGAACTGTTATAAACACGCTGACACGTTCAGCGACACAGCCTTCACACTGTCAGGCAATAACGGTGGAGACAGCTTCACTCGCAAAGCACCCGGAGTACAGCTCCCAACTCTGCTTGGTCGTTCTCGGAAGTCCACGTACTCTCGAGACTCTCCACGCAATGCACTGTACGATACGCAAGAGTATAGCTTTCGACTCAGCACAGTCTAAGACAAAACTCGACGATGCACTAAAAGAATCTTTGATGCACTCGACGACCCACTCGGCACTCGCTGCCCGGCTGTCTACTCGATCGACTCCGCAGGGATTGACTCGCTAGACGAGACACCAACTCGATACTATCTATCTCGCACTCTCGAGGCACTCTGACTAGCCCTTTCGATGAAGCACACTATCTTGCACTCTATTGAATGCACGCACACTAGCTGACTGCGGACCAGCAGGGTGTATATAGCTTTCGGCTTGTGTTCGAGAACATTCTGGGCTAAACCGGTAAGAATTCGTTCCAGAAGGTTCTACATCCATCCATGGTATATCACCAAATGGGCGATTTCTCGCCAAATGTGACAACCCTGCCTTCCCTTGCCATTTTATGGCAACCCTAAAACTGCTTTGCGGGGAAGCCATCTCACCGCGCCTGTACATTTCGTAGCAATATATGTTCACTTATCAGGTATTGGTGACCTTATGTTACATAGAAATGTAGGGGTCAAAAGATATAGCCGAAGCTATCAAAATTCTCAAGGAATTGGCCCCTAAATGTTAACAAAACGCTAAAGCTATTAAGGGCCGGAAATACGACCGAGCGGAGTGATAACTTAGAAAGAGTGTAACCAAAAGGCAAACGCGCGCTAGTCAGAATCTCTGGCTCTCTAACGAATTCGGTGGAACTTCGACTTAAGTACCGCTCTTCCTTCATTTGCATTAACCGCGATTCTAAAAACATGCTCTGGCAGGAAATTTGGAAGCGGAAATTAGAAGGGACAGGAAAGTAGCTTTAATTAAAAATAGCTGTTAAAACTTAGGATAAACCTTGCAACTTTAAACAACACTACAGACCGGAATTCCAGCATGCGTCCACTGCGCACAACATTGTCAGTCACCGTGTTTTCATATCTCCGGCGCTAAAATATGTGCGGAAGTGCAGTTTCGAATTCAACTGTATTTTATTAACGTGAATAATGACAGGATCGCGCATTGGTTGCAACATTAACTTAGTGAGCATATTTTTTTCTCACAATCCTTTAATTTTGATAACCAGTGTAATAGAATATCACATTATGAAACACTTGCAGCTAATGTCAGTCTTCCGAAAGATTCCTTATTAAGCAAAGCTATCTTGTTCTCGAGATCTGTAAAATCATGAATCTATTTTCTGCATCGGGAAAAGGTATTTTAGATCCCGCTTAAAAATATGAATGTAACACTAGGATATTTACTTCTTTAAAGTTTCAGCTATGTATTTATTAACTCACACATAGTAACTTCATTTAATTAGCATAAGTTGTGAAAGCCTTGTTAAACCATCCTTAACATAATTTTGTGAATGATATTAACCTCTTCGTCGTCCGTAACGCGTCTAGCGCGTTCAAGTGAAATTTCTGCACGCGTAACGCACTGCAAGCGTTCTTCTTCATTGTAAAACTTTTAAACGTTTAAAACGCTTTCCAAATGTTTACTTGTTTGAATTTTTATTTTTGTTTGTTCTAATACATCCTAGATGGCAATACTAATGAGGCATTGTATTTCTAATTGAATTCCCCCGACCCCCGGGTTTTATGAATATTCGCGCTATTTTACATAAGATACATGACATGATAAGAGATCTTCAACGTCTACTCAGCAGAAAAAGAGAAAAAATTAGGGGTTGTGAATTGGGAAGACAAGAAGGATATACGTTTGATGAGCACAGTTCCATAATAACTCGATGTTTGATGTTGGAACACGAAAAATAACTATAAAAAACCAATTGTAAAAGATTACAACAACAAAATGGGAGGAGCGGACCGCCTGGATCCGATGTTAGCATATTAATCCTGCTGTTAGAAATAAGCAGAGATATTATTACTTTTCCATTATACTTTATTCCTTTATAATTTTACTTACATTTACATTCATCCACTGCGAAAGTTATGTATGGAAAGCTACGTATGTACAGAGAAACAACATACGCTGCGAAAAACAAAGGGCCGCTGGGGAGAAATTTTCGCGGTAAGGAGAGGACGGCGAAAGGGTTTTAAGGACGGTGTTTATCAATTTGTAAATGTTTGATCTATCTTTATGGATTCCATCGAATTTAGACTTTGTGAACTTGTAGTTTTCTTTCATCTTTAATGTAAATGCCTTTCAAAATTTATACTTTTAAATTACGTTTTGTAAGATAAAAAATGCAATTAATTTAGTTATTAGTCCAAAGGGGCAATTTACGCCCAGTTTAATTTAACAATATGTTTTTCTTCAGCCTTTTTAAGCAAGTCTTTTATGCTTTATGAGTGTCTGTATTCAACATACTGTTTCTTCCTAAGGTGGGCCAATATGTTGGTCTTCAATGGCACGGTAAAATGACGATTAGTGGTGATACCGAAGAACACCACCCGATCAGTATGAATCCCGAGACGGACACAGGTGGTGGAAACAGACATCTCGCTCTTCATGTGCACGTGACTCGAGATCGTAGTCTGGATCTTTACATCTTCGCTCCTTACTGGATCATCAACAAAACAGGACTGCCTCTACAATTCAGGGTAAGCATTTTCCTACTTGCCTCTTCTAATTCGCAATCTATGTATTGTTATGTACAATCTGTTTATCATAAGAAACGCTGCCGCCAGTTAGTCTGCAACTGTCTGTTGCCGTAGAGCCTGGACCTATTGTCCGTAGGGTGCCTCGAAGAAGAATGATAAACTGTTTTTCCCCTCAGCCAACAGTCGCCAAAAACAACATAACAATAAAGCAATCCTTGGTTCGCCCCTATTTGAAATATACTAGCCCTGTTGCTACAGCGACCGCCACCCGCCAGACACTGTGGAAATCAATAAAATTTTGCAATCAATAAAAAAATATTTAATGTTTTTCAATACTACATAATTAAGTATAATTATTGATTACAATGTTTCATAGTAATGCTAATATTTCCTTAACACTATTTTTTCGATTATATGCACAAAGTCTGAGCACCAACCTATATCAACACAAACGTTAATATTATGGTGCGTACGGGTTCGTTATGAAATGAATGCACAAGTCCGATGAAAAATGAACAAAAATTTATTATTATCACAACAAAAATGCTTAAATTTTCTCAAATTATCATGCAGTATTACAATATCTCACAGTAGTTATCTTTAACTACTCAAATGTCCAATAGAACGTAATTCAAAACAGCTAAAGAACGCTAATCCGCGAATTCGCTACAATCAACAACAGTAGTTTTCTAAACAACAACAAACTAAGCAACTACTACAAACTGAGATGTTTTCCTCCTTTTATAAGATTTTAAAATCACGCGCTAGAATTTTCCAGTACTTTCTCGAAATCAAAAAGAGATATTTATTATTTTAATGCACGCGCTCTTGTATTTTCAATTTTCCGGCTTAGCTTTCTTTTAATATTCGTCACGCGCTGCACTGCGCGAGAAATAAAACCATTTAATTTATAATTGAACTAACATTAGCTTTTTAAATACCAAATTCGTAACACTGCCCCCTTCCCAAGGACTGCACGTCCCGGGCAGTACAATCCCTGGACAGGAAGCTAAACTTACAACTGTGGCATAAATGCAACTGAGGCATAAACATTACATTACAATAAACAACATGAACAATAAATGCAATAACTAACTAAACAATCAAATGCTATCAAATACTAAATACAAAAAATACTAAATACAAATCAAATACTAAATACATTTAAAACAAAAAGGACCATGGTCTTATACTATTTACAATTATTTACATTACGTACTATGGCCATAGTAATGAGCTAACCTGTCGTAAGAGTTTCGAAGACTTACGGAATCCGAACCATGACGTCATTTAGCCTGTTTAGGATTGTGTGCGAACCATCCCAAGGTGACTGTAATCAGGACTGACTCCTTTTCGTCGAATCGGGTTCCACAACCACACCTTGTCTCCTTCGTTGGATCTATGTCCAGCAGCTCTCGTGTTGTATCTGGTCTTCACTTTCTCCGTCGCCAAGTTCACTCGCTTTCGTGCGGAACGGTGCATCACTTCAAACGGGCCTGGACATCTTGGATGTGTTCCTCAGGCGATGAAGGCGCATCCGTACGGGCGATGAAACAGGCGGTCACAAGGCAGACGAAGGTCTCGACCGAAGAGCATCTGAGATGGAGAATAGCTGGTAGTCTTGGTGTTTCTTTTCGACCCTAGCATGATTTCGGCTGTTTCTCGAGCTGGTTCTTTCGGACAAAGCGTCGGCATTTCCAGGTGAGGATCCCTTCTTAGGATGGATAGTCATGTCTTCAGATCCTGAAAGCAGTTTGTTGTTTTTTCAAGTCTAAGGAAAAATTGTATTTCCTTAAAAAGTCCAATCCGAGTATGCATGGATCTGTAATATCCGCCACATATGCCGTGTGATGGTAGGCGGCACTTCCAAACGTGATGTTTACGTTTAACTTCCCAGTTATGTCGATCTTGTCACCAGACGCAGTCTGAAGGGTAACACAGGATGGCGTCCAAATAAGTTTATCTTTAAACTGTTCAGCTAAATCTTTCCTAATGATGGTAACATTAGCTCCTGTGTCAATGATCATTCTGCAAGGAACTCCATCGATATTCCCATTGATGGACAGTCCGTTATTGTTGCCACTCACTGTATAAATTTTAAGAGCTTTAAAACAAGGTTTTTTCACTATCTGGCAACCTCCGTTCCTCGATATGGTCACTAATTTGTTTACTGCGTTGTTGCTGGGAAATGGTCTTATTTTCCGTACCTCGGGGTGTTCTGCAGTTTCTTCGTATGTGGCCTTCAACTCCGCAGTTCCAGCACTTTAGAATTAGTTTCTTTTCACTTCTGTTCCGTCTCAAGCCACTGACTTGTCTGGTAAAATCATCTGCTTTATATTCCGTACCCTGGGGTGTTCTGCAATTCCGTCTTAGGTGACCTTCACTACCACATCTCCAACACCTTAGAGCCACTTTCTTCTCGCTCCTACTCCGTATCAAATCTTCGACTTGTCTGGCTAAATCATCTAAACGAGCCATCAGTTGATCCACTGGCTCATGGACTCGCACAGCTCTAACTGGGTAGCGATCTCTACTAGTTGCTTGCTGGGCTGCCTCGAACTTTCATGGCGTACAACTAGAGCGCTTTTTAAAATCTTTTACATCCGCCATTCGTAGAGCTTTCTGTATTTCAGTATCTCGGATGCCGTCGATAAAGTATTGCAAGGACAGGATTTCCCTTGTTTCTGTCGGGCATTCCGAAAAGGCGAGATGGGACAGCCTTTCAACATCCGCGGCGAGCTCCTGAAGTGTTTCGGTAGGCTTCTGTTGACGAGATTTTAATTGGAGCCTGCTGTAGTCTTTTAAACACTTCTCCCCAAAGCGCAACTCCAAGGCGCCGGACAGAGCTTCGAAATCTAACCTTTTGTTTTCGGGAAGAGTCTGAAGGATATCCGCTGCGTCGGCTCTTAGAGAAGCGGCGAGATGACAGGCCTTAGCTTGGGAATCCCATCCATTCGCATCCGCCACGATAGAAAATTGTGTCTTATACACCTGCCAGGAGGTCTTCCCATCATATGTGGATAGCTTCAGAGGTGGACGAGCAGGCATTGGTAAGAATTTAAAATCATCACTCCTGCTCCCTGCCGACGCTACGAATTTCTTTAAAGTATCCATTTCTTTGGCAACTGCAGAAACTCTCTCATCAATTTGTTCTTTTACAGAAGAAACTCTTTCTTCTATTTCTTCTTTCACCGAAGAAACTCTTTCTTCAATATGTCCAACTTTATTTTCAACTGCGTCAATTCTGCCTTCCATAGCTTCAAATTTATTTTCTATTATGCAAGTAATTTCTCTTTTCATTTCTTCTTGACCAGCTTGAACGGCTTTCATTTCGTCCTTAACGGATTCCTGGCCCAATTTCATTTCTTCCTTAACGGATTCCTCCCAATTCATTCTTCTTAACGGATTCCTGGCCCAATTTCATTTCTTCCTTAAATGATGCTTGGCCAGCTTCCATCTTTTCTTGGAATGCAGCAAAAGCACTAATGAGCTGTCTCAATTGTTCTTCCATCGCTCTTGTTATTGGCATTCAAATCCCCACTCCTGACACCAAAAATTGTTGCGTGCGTACGGGTTCGTTATGAAATGAATGCACAAGTCCGATGAAAAATGAACAAAAATTTATTATTATCACAACAAAAATGCTTAAATTTTCTCAAATTATCATGCAGTATTACAATATCTCACAGTAGTTTTCTTTTAACTACTCAAATGTCCAATAGAACGTAATTCAAAACAGCTAAAGAACGCTAATCCGCGAATTCGCTACAATCAACAACAGTAGTTTTCTAAACAACAACAAACTAAGCAACTACTACAAACTGAGATGTTTTCCTCCTTTTATAAGATTTTAAAATCACGCGCTAGAATTTTCCAGTACTTTCTCGAAATCAAAAAGAGATATTTATTTATTTAATGCACGCGCTCTTGTATTTTTCAATTTTTCCGGCTTAGCTTTCTTTTAATATTCGTCACGCGCTGCACTGCGCGAGAAATAAAACCATTTAATTTATAATTGAACTAACATTAGCTTTTTAAATACCAAATCAATGAATGTTACGCTATAGCCTTAATGTTATAAAATTGTGTCCAAATTAAATCTGTTTAAACAACGAAACCGAATCCGTGTATCTAAGTATAACAATAATCCGTGTTACGGAATATCGTTATATTCGGATACACGGAATATAACAAAATATTGCACCGCTGGAGCCACTGAAGATTGGAAAACCAAAACATAATTTTAATCACCAGAAAGTCATAAAGCACCAAAACAGAACACTATTTAATTGATAGACGATGTTAACTCGTTGCAAGCAGATATTCACAAACAAAATAAGCAGAAATTCGCCATTACCACGAAGATTTCTCCAAAATTCAAAATATACTGCCATCATTATATTTTTGTACGTCATTCTCTTTCTGTATTAAAGCTCTCCAGTATTTAATTCTGATCGTGAATTGCAAAACCGTTACGAAAACATTACTGAAAATAAGATGGAGTATGAAATTTATCGCTCAGATCACTAACGAGTTTGAATTTGGCAGCTAGCCAAAGCGCGCAATCCTCGAGCTTAGATGTTCGTTTCCGTCGCATGGATATGCATCGTCTTTTAACATTGCACGTTTTCTCGGAATTCTTAAAATAGCATAATTTTTATCCGTGAATACTACATCTTCACGCAATCATACCTTCGCGAAAACTTTACTTTTCTCACTGTATGCGGTAAAATGTTTCATATTATGCCACCATATTAATTCAAATAAATTCGTTTTTACTTCAAAAATAATAAAGTCATATTTCAGCAGTAAAATAATTGCTAACACGTGGTTTGCATTGATTTCTGAAATATGATTTTTTAAAATATATAAAATGCATAACTTAATAACTTACTTCATAGGTTTGTTTCATTTTTAAATATTTTGCTTTAATATTTATAAAAAAATATTTTAAGTATTAATTATTTTTAACAAAATAATTAACAATATTTAGCACGTAA